TCCCTCTTTGCAAGTCTTATTACTGGATTAGCGAGGTTTGGGAGTGCATCGACCGGGGATCGAACCCCGAACCACGTGCGTTGTTGGCGAGCATTCTACTGCTGTGCCACCGACACACAAAGTTCACTTAAGTGACTATATTTTAACGAGGTAGCATATACCCGACCGAAAGCTGCTACCTTGACGTGGTGGTCGGGCTTGAACACCGCAATGACCCAACAAGCTATACTGGCTGGAACTTATGTTCCTGCAGGTCCTACCATGCCAGGAAGGTTGTTTGGATAGCGGTTAGACTAAAAGCAGTTACCCAATCCAATCCTATGACTTCAAACAAATCACAAAATATCATGCCGGATCGGTCGGGGCCCGGATTAACAACGACCGCGCTTTCTGCTGCCATGTCACAGGGCAGAAGTGATAAATACGCTACTGAGACACACCAAATAAAAAACAACAAACAAAAACAGGCCGTGTGTGACCGGCCTCCCCTGGGCTCTGCGGTCACGCAACCAACTTCCACGGTGTGGGCAGCCGGGAAGTAACAATCCGAAGTGCACGCGAAACCTCTCTAATCCTCACTCACCTTTGTCTTCATCTTCATCCCTATTATCTTGCCTTCCTTCTACTACTGCAACTCCTCTACTTAATGGCTCTTCACTTCCTCTTCACTCTGTTTGCACTGATAACGATGGAAGCCAAAAAGCCACCATCGATAGTCTCCTAAAGCCACGTCACCAATTTCATATAGGGGCATTTAATGTTAGGACACTTTGCCAAATAGGACAACAGGCATCACTAGCCAAGACTCTGGCATCCCGAGCCATTGATGTATGTTGTGTTTCAGAAACACGCATACAGGACCCAAGTGTGGTTATTCACCTAACCCCACCTGGCCAACAGGATGAATCTGCAAAATTCACCTTGAGGGTGTCTTTAGATGAGACGGCTAGCTCACGAGGATTAGCTGGTGTTGGGATAGCTCTGAGTACTAGGGCAGAAAAGACATTACTTGACTGGATCCCGGTAGATAGCCGAATGTGTGCTGTCCGTCTGAACGGATCAGTGAAAAGGAGAAAGGACTGCACTACTCGCCGATGCCTTTTCGTAATCTCCGCCTACGCCCCCACTGACTGCAGTTCGGATGAAACGAAGGATGAGTTCTACCAAAAGCTGTCTAGTTTGCTGCGAAAGGCTAAACGCTCAGATATAGTCGTTTTAGCTGGTGACTTTAATGCTCAAGTGGGGAAATTGTGTCAATCTGAGAAGAATGTCGGTGGCACATACGGAATTCCGTGCCAGCGAACCGAAAACGGTGACCGTCTCCTACAGTTCTGTTCAGATAATCACTTGTTTCTTGTAAGCCCTAACTTCAAACACAAGGAGAGACACTGTCTTACCTGGCGACCTCCATCATCAAATCAACGCTGGACACAAATAGCCCACATAGCAATAAGCTATCGTTGGCGTGGGTCGGTAGGAGATTGTCGCTCCTTCTGGAACACATGTGTAGATACCGATCACGCACTGGTCCGCGCTCGTGTGTGCTTACGACTGAACGGACGTAGGAAACAGCTGGCGGTAAAACCATCACGTCCCCAGCTCGATCAGGAAACTAAGTCCCTATTTGAGGAAGAACTAGCTAAACACATATCTGAGTTTGACAGCTACGCTCATCCTGAAGAAGCCTGGAAAAATATTCAGTCAGCCATAGATACAGCTGTAAAAGCTGTGAATAAGGTAAATCCAAAGGTGAGTAAAAAACATTGGATTTCGACTGCCTCATCCGAACTGATAGATGCTAGAAGACTTATTCCAGCGAGCTCCGAATTCAATGGGGAGAGAAAGCTGCACAAAAGAAAACTTACGAAAAGTCTCCGCAAGGACCGTGAACAGTGGTGGTTGGCAAAGGCGAAGGAGATGGAAAAAGCATCGGCGATAGGCAACACTAGGCAACTCTTTAGACTCATCAGGGAAACGGGTGGGAGAAGGCAAATCATAAGTGAGACTATTTGTGAGAAAAATGGCTCCTTAATTAGCTCTCAGGATAGACGCCTCGAACGCTGGAAAGAACACTTCGAGGAACAGTTTAACTTGCCTACAGCCACACTGAGCCTCCCCGCCATCCAGCACACACCCGAATGGGATATAGACACTGGCCCACCATCTGTAAGTGAGGTCACAAAATCTATTTGTAATTTGAAACGAGGCAAAGCGGCAGGACCCGACGGAATTATTCCGGAGGTGTTTAAATATGGGGGTGACATGCTAGTATATAGTTTAACTAAGGTACTAGGTAACGTCTGGGAATCAGAGACGGTTCCATCAGACTGGGGTAAGTCACTTATCATACCAGTATTCAAGAAGGGAGATAAGTCCTCATGTGACAATCATAGAGGAATCAGCCTAACGAACATAGTCTCTAAAATCCTAGGCTCAGTAATCATGAACAGACTAAGCCGAACTCGGGAGGAACAAACGAGGGAAAATCAAGCGGGCTTTAGGCCAGGTAGAGGGTGCATAGATCATATCTCCACTCTCCGACAGATCCTAGAACATAGGCACACTTTTAGGCGTCCAACAATTGCCATATTTCTTGACTTGAAGGCGGCCTTCGACTCCGTGGATCGAGAGGTTCTATGGCAATGTTTGACTATGAAGGGAGTGCCAAGAAAGTACATTGCACTAATCAAGGCACTCTACTCAAACTCACGTAGCTGTGTAAGGGCTTATGGGGAATTGTCATCTGAATTGATAACAACCAGTGGTGTCCGTCAAGGATGTCCACTTTCCCCTTTTCTGTTTAACTTCATCATAGATATGCTAATGGAAGTATCCTTAACTGAACTTAACGACTTAGGAATCGACTTGTTACCAGGGAATAGTCTTATGGACTTAGAATATGCAGATGACATAGTCCTGTTAGGGGAGGACGCTGACAAAATGCAGAGTCTTCTGAACACCTTGAGCAGCAATCTTCGTATGTTTGGCATGCGATTCACCCCTGTGAAATGTAAGATGCTGCTACAGGACTGGACTACGTCAACTCCAAGCTTAGTGATAGGGAGTGAAGTGATAGAACATGTTGACCACTTCACCTATTTAGGAGGTTGTATCAGCACCAACGGATTGATTGGTGACGAAATCACAGCACGGATCCAGAAAGCTAGGGCTGCTTTCGCTAACTTACACCGTCTCTGGCGTAGGCGTGACATCCGACTGTCAACCAAGGGACGTGTATACTGCTCAGCAGTTCGCTCCGTCCTTCTCTATGGCAGTGAGACGTGGCCATTGAGAGCGGAACACATGAAGAGATTGTCTGTTTTTGACCACAGATGTTTACGATCTCTTTCTCGCGTTAGGTGGTATAATAAGGTAAGTAATGTTGACGTTAGGCGTAGAGTGTTGGGCAAAGAAGGAAAATCACTTGAAGAGGCTATAAAGTTACGTAGATTGAGATGGCTAGGTCACGTGCTGCGCATGCCTAACCATCGCCTCCCCCGACGGGCATTACTAGCTGATATAGGTACAGGTTGGAAAAGAGTAAGTGGTGGCCAAACAAAAACATGGCATCAGTCCATGAAATCCTTGACAGTTGAGCTGAGTCAGGTAGGGAGATGCAGACTTCCGGGATTGGGCCCTCGGGACTCTAAGAATCAATGGCTGGAGACAATAGGTAACATGGCTCAAAATCGTTGTCAATGGCCTACGCAGATGTATTCAGTCTCTTTAACCTTCATACTCCTTTATACCATTACTCATTGTGTTTCACTCTTATACTTGTCAAAACTCTATTGATTCTCTTCACTCATCTTCTTGTCTACCTTTGTGTGCTATTTGGAACGTGGCAACTCGAACTGCTGCACTTCGGTGCCAAGTTCTATGCTGAATCCAGACAGACAGGTAGCATATGAGAATCTCTAGAGTGATTGAACGTATGCAACAGAAATCGTTACCTTCACAGGAATAACCTCGTCTCATTTATTTCGCTTTTGTCAATTGCAGGATATTAGGCTATTAGAACTAAGTAATGAAACAACACGATTTTGTTTTCCATTCATTAGAGACTATAAACTTCTATTAGTAGTAAATACTATACACTCAATAACCAAATTTTGTTTAAGTCACTAAATCTGGTTTGCTCAGTTTGCTCATCTTAACACTGATGGGAACAAAATGCGCACTGGAACCTATAATATGATATCACCAAATGAAATAATGAATTCTCTTACAGCCTGGTCTAAACAACTAACAAACTCCTGGACCTTCGGTGGTTACGCTAATGAGAACTGATAGTTGCCTCTTAAGTACCAGTACACTGATTTGAACTGATTCATTTTTCGGAGAGATTTAGTGCCTTTCTAGCTACATCTGACTTGACACTAATTAACCCAGTTTATTACATGCCATTATTATTTTCAGTACTGGGACAATCAAGCACGAATATTACCTTAAAAGCTACATAATTTCGACTATACTATGCAGCATCTCAAGACCTAATTAATTTAAAATACTAACCAGCGTAGAGTCAAGAACTATGGAAGAAGTGTTGAAGTGGAGAATTTACGCACAGATGAAGAAAGAGAGAGAGAGACGAAAACAAACGTAAAATGTCACAACCATAAACCTTCAAACAGTCATATAGAAATATTAAGTCTAACTGAACACGCTACTGAAATCAAAAATAAGTAGCCAAACATTCCTGTACGATTAAAAACAAACATCAGCATACAGACGTTTTTCCATAAAAAGATGTAACTACACAGATATAAACCAATAAAAAAGGGTAACTGAGTAATATAGGTACCTTTTTTAACCAAATCTTCTAAGATACCCCAAAATTATGCAACTATTTTCAATATGATTAAATCCACTGCTATCTACTACATGGGTACTTCATTATTCTAAACAACTTACTCTTAACAACGCTAACCTTAAAATATGACAGGATTTGAAAAATTCACCACATATGGCAACTGTCATTTGTTGCAGGCAAACAAGAATCATGCATAATCTAATTTCGATAACAGTACAGTTTGATTATGTCTTTAAAGTTAAATGATATAATTGGCCTTCAATATGACAAGTAAATCAAGGATGCACAGTAACAAATTACAACTTACTCTGTCTTCTTACGAATCTTCCGTTTTTTCACTGGTTGTTCACGTTCACCTAATGAATTTTTATCACATTTATAACTGAGATGACCAAAAGCCTGTAAAAGGAAAAATAAGAATAGTAAACAGTATAATGACAGACTAGCACAGGGGAAAGTTTAATTTACACAACACACACACAAATTCAGAATCCAGAACGTAGTATGTGCACTTTCACCAAGCAGTTCAAATTCACCATATCTATTCAGCAATTTTTAGTGAAGTTAATCCCATCAGCATACTAAGAACAGCACAAAAGCAAAATTTAAAGGTACGTATGCTGTTATGCATGGTAGTTAATGCATCGGTGGTTCAATGGAAGAATGCTCTCCAACCACTTAAGTGCTCCACGTTCGATTTCTGGCAGACGAACTTCTAGACCTAACTTAGTCGGTACTAAGCCCTATACAGAGGAAAGATTGGGTATGAGGCCAGCAACCCCACCAAGTAAAAGAACAACCCTGCCGCTACTGAAACTTTAAAGCTCAAACTGGAAACATTATGTTCCACTCAGAATGCAAAGGTATAAAATAAGCTGTCATGAAATTTTTGTAGTTCATTCCATTATAACGCCTACATTTTAATGCCAATCTGAGATTCAAACATGCTATTTAAGAAACAATGATTTCACAACTTAGACGATCTCAACTCTGAAACTTTCAGCAAAACTTAGTACCAAAGTGTATCAGTTCATAATGCAACACTCTGAAACTGCGTACATTAATAAGAGGGTAGTCAGAACAATAAATACTACGGCAAACAAGCATTTATAACAGTGAGAACAATTGGGTAATAATTAGTAAAAAAACGCTTAGGATTTATTTAATTAGAAACGAATACGCCTGCCTGTAGCGATGTGAAACAATTTAGCCTTATTGCTAATAATTGCCAGGCATTAGTTCTTCACTTTTGCGAGACCACAAACAGTTAACCTGTATCGTATACGGATTAAGCCAACAATCAGGGAACTTAAGCTGATTTACACTCTTCTTATTTACTCGTTGATATTATCACTGATAGGCACTTTATGTCATGCAACAAATTTGTTAAAGGAATTCTGTCAGACTCTGAGCACCCACTCTACCCGCACCTCCAACCTTGTGTCTCCTCAGGTAAAACAAGAAGTCTTTTCAGGAGACTTTATGCACGTAAGTCTAAGTATAAAAATTCCACTATATTATATTTGACACGTACTTTATGTGATGAAAATAGTGTCAGGCATGAACTAAGTAACCTTCTTTGCACTAGTAAATAAACCATTTTCTCCACTCTTATAACATCAAGCTTTATTGTTACTGTTCTTCTTATATTTATAATCCTCGCAATTTTTTGTTTTTATTTGTTTAGTTTTCTCAAAAGTGTAAACATCATTTATGCTGTGTTATGACTGTTAATTTTGCCTTTCGCCTCACTATACTATATCAAGAGAACATCAGATTCAATAATCTATAACATGCTAAAATTTCCAAACTGAATCGACAATACTGTTTGAAACAAACTCACTGTTATTATTATCATTCTCATTTTGTACTTCGAATATTTTGACTTTATACCGTAAATGTGGACAAATTCCTCTGGTTAATTTTGTTTTAATTTTATTTATATTTTGAGTAAATCAGATGCAATATTGTGACAAATGTTGAGAATTCAATTCTGTATTAAAAGTACTGTTTTTGGAATAAAGTAGATTATTATTATTATTATTATTGTAAACTATTGAGCAGACGAAAGGTTTTTCTTTGTGTGTCACATCTACTGTCAATTTCTTAATTATCTGTTTTTTCATCTGAACAAATTCGTCGTTTGAATAACTAGTTCTCTAAATGAGAAAGTTCATAAATTACTGTTATCTTGTCATTATCAGTTAATTTTATCCAGGTAGGTAGCTCCCTGAGGTTCTAGTGGGAAGTCGTGACCAGTAGGGTGCAGCAGGTCGGGTGTGAGGACAAATACTCGCCGAAGACATTCGCTAGCGGTTGCGCTATACCGTGAATTGGCAGAATTTAGAATTCATGGGCCATTGGATCGGGTCCCAGTGGCTTAATGGTCTACGAGGTCGCCTTGTAACCAAAAGCTCCTGTAACCGAACCCTGGTGGATGCGTACTGATGGAGAGCCCCAAACTAGGACGAAACAGCTATCCAGTACCCCCAGGTTTTCCAATGGTTCTCTAAACAATGTCAGCTCATGATGAAACAACAAACAACAGTGTGAGTAACTTGATATAATTATGAGCAATAGTTTGTGCTCGAAACGTCATCAGTTAATATAACTGTACAACACTGTGTGATTTATCAAAATAAAAATCGTATCCATTATGGAGACGTTTAACAAACAGTTACACAAAAAATAACTTACACCACATTCATAGCATCGAGATTTGTTAGGATATTCACGTCTACGAATAAATTCGGCAGCACGACCATTATCTCGAGCAATGGATGCTTTCAGTGTACGACCAAACATCTGAAAAAGAAATAAATACATGAATAAATAATACTAATAGTAATTGAACAATCGCACTCGGAAAGGGAATTTTAGCTGGACACAGGAATCTGTTTAGTGAATTACGGGAAGTGATAGATAATAATTGAGAAAGAATATACGGTTGAAATTTAGATTATTCGAAGAGATTAATACCAAAGTTCCAGTCCTGATATATATATATATATATATATATATATATATATATATATATGTATATATATACAAATTTCGAGTTAGTCAAGAATTCCCATCGTATAATAATTTCATTTGATAAAAAACACATTGATACAGTATTATTTACTGATTACATTTCGAGTACAATTTATGGATCATAATCACATAAGGGTGCTCACAGCTGAGCTTACATCGAACTGCTTAAAACTACCAAAATAACACTTCATAGAATTTTATCTTCAATCTAGTTTATTATTGCTATTCCCCTTGGGTTTCGAGTGGGAAATAGGGCTTCGGCAGTATATCTCGATTTCAAACAGTTCTCTGCTGTCCTTATAGCTGGCACCACGATTACCCATAAGCTTACATGATCTGCTCCATGTCACCCTTAAACACCACTTGTCGTTTCCCATTCGGGTCCCAGTCGAGGAACTGATATCACTCAACGGTCTCCTCAGAGTGTGTCCAATCCATCTCCACTTTCTTCGGCATATTTGTTGCGCTGATTAGTTTGTTGCCAGAGTTCTTTTTTGCTAATCCTTCCTGACCATGCGATCTTCAGTATTGAACGAAGACAGCTGTTGATGAAAGTCTGTAGCCTGCTGGAAATATTTTTAGTGACTCTCCAAGCCTCTGAACTATAATAGAGGCACTGATTGACCTGACATTACTGTTGAGGATCTGAATCTTGTTCATTATGCCGAGTGCAGTAGATTTCCACATTGATTTCGGATTAATGAAAGTCTCTCTTGCCTTTACGACACTCTGGCTATAAATTTACGATTTGTCACAAGAAGACAAATTTTCAAATCCATTATAAAAATACTACTTCCATAACACTGGCAAAAAATCAATATATATATACGTCAAGTCGGGCCTCCTATACAGGTCAGAAACTTGCACTGCGTGTCACGAAAAGGATTTCCAACAGGTCACTTCAGACTTTGATCAACAGCTGCCCAATTCACTGCCCCGATACTGAAGATCAAATGGCAGACCAGAAAGAATTAGTAACAAGAAACTCTGGCTGAGAACAAACCAACAGGCGAGAACCGATCGCCCATCGAATATGTAGGAGAAAGTGGAGATGAATCGGTCATACATTGAGGAGTTCGTTGAATGACACCGCACGCAATGCAGACCATCGCTCGAGTGGAATTCAAACGGGAAGTGACGAGTGGGTCGTCAATGAGAGGGTGACATGGAGGAGACCGTGCGAAGAGGAGATGAGAAATTATGGTCAATCGTGGACCCAGCTGAAGAGGACGAAGTGGAGATGTGTTGTTGAAGCCCTATGTTCCACTCGGAACGCAAAGGAATGATAATAATAATATGTATATACACTCACCTGTGCATTGTTCAGTTTGTCCGCACAATTACGAGCATCATTTCTATCCAGGAATAAAACAAAAGCGACACCTTTGCTTTTACGACTTTCTTTATCTTTAACGACGGTTACCCTAAATTAATTAATAAAAACACGATAACAGAATAAAGTATAACACAAAGGAAAGCAAAATAATACACTAGATGACTGATACCATACCAGCTATAGACATTTCAATTTGTGCATACTAACATAAGTGAATTGATTCAAAGCAGTATTAAAAACTTTCATTTTAAGAAACTACTGTGGTGAGAGAGCCGGCCGCTAGCCAAAGTTGGTAGACAGTAATTGACGTCAATGTTTATGTGCCCAATATTGATGGTGAGAAAATGAGAACAAAGGCTTTGCGTAGGCGGATACAGTTAGCATATGGATGATCTGACACAGCCACAAAGAAATGCAAGGTTAACTTTCTGTCAGAAACAACCAATCAAAAGACTGTATTTTCTACTAACAATAATATACAATAATGTACATTAAAATCTATAAATATTTGTTGATTTTTCCTTAATAAACGATCTGTTGCCTGGCCCTTGTCTTCTGTTGTTACACTACTAGTTGAAACAATAGCTGATAACTGTAAATGTTTTGAAATTCTTGATATACAGTTTACTATTAGTTATGAGTGAATAGAGCTGAAACTACTTCAGTAACTAAGACCACATTGTACGCCACTAAAATATTGTCGTTTAGTTGGTGGAGGTAAACAACAAATAGTAACAAGAAGTCCCAGAATGGTGCATCAGCTTATATTGCCGAAAAGAAATCAAAGACACGAAGTAACGAAATGTCCAAATATACTCGCAAATGATAAAATGATGGATTTAAACAATAAACCTGACTCAATCACTTCACTTTTAGGAAATCAGTCAAGTTTAATAACCACGGGAATGTTTGAAACCATCCTAAACTACACCTTTCAAAGATGACCAGAACAAGATGTCAGGATTTATCATTGTTTATAAACATTTTATACAAATATGTGATACTGACTGACATTCATCAGATTGATTATTTCTGCGATAAAAAAATCCAGATCCAAGTAATTTTATATTTTACTTTCAGCAGTTAGGACTCTCGCCGACCATGCACATGGTCCGGGGTTCGATCCCCTGCCGACGCACACCTGATATCTATGATCGGCTTGCAAAATTTGGGCTACCGATATCATATGCTGAAAATTCCATACTTGTACGAAAAATACTGTGTGGTTTCAAGCTATAATCAAGAAAATAAACACATAGTTGTGATCAAAGTTCTCTTTCAAAAATAATATACGTGTTTGAGATTTTGGATCTTATCTCACTGTAAAATTGTAGTGAGAGCTGTCTGCGAACAAGCCAAAATTGTAGACAACAATTTACGTCAATGTTTACGTCCCGAATCGGGGTTAAGAGGAAAAACAATAACAAAGCTTAGTCTTGAGGAACTCATCAACCAATCACAGCAGACTTAACGTGTGCAAATACGATTTGCACATATATGGCTTTCTAAGAAACGGTCACAAGCAGTACAGAATAACCTTCAGCAAGGAAACAACCAATAAGAAGACGTTGCTTCTCCGCTGACAATAATGTACATAAAAATCTATAAATGTCTCTTGATTTTCTCAATAAACGATCTGTTGGCTGGTCCTTGTCTTTTGTCGTTATAAAATCACACTTAAATTTGTGGAAATGTAGCTCATCGACTTTATCACTCGACATTTAGCCAATGGATCATTGGGTTCCACTCCTGCCCCTAAAATAGGGTAGTATGATCAGCGCTAACACAATGTGCGTGGCTCATAGTCTGGTGTATGAAAACTTTGTTTCACATTGCTGAGTTACAAGCAATTAATACTTACAACTCAGAGTTCTTTCGATGTAATTTCAGACTACAATTTCCAATTCAATAAATTAAAGTGTGGAAATTGGGTAATAACTTTCCTTCGAAAGAAAACAGAATAAGTAACTTATTCATATTTGAGAAATTGGAGTTTTTTTCCTGACGTTCTCTTTAGTTAGATTGATAGACAACAACCGATTGTGCAACGAGTTCCAGGAAAAACTGAATACTTTTTCGAAGTACTTAGCCGACAACTGTAAGACATAGAAATCTATTAAAGATGCCTTTCGGAATTCAGTCTGCTTTTAGTAAGTTTTTAATGTTTCTGTAGAACTTTCCTCAGCAAAAATCAATAATAAACTACTGTTTTCTTAGGTAGCTAAATTCTACTACAGAACAACATTCCAGTGAGAACTGACAAGAAATTCTCTTCTTTAGCTCAAGTTTAATTTTACCGTCTAACATAACGTCAATATATTAAATAACTATGTCATAGAGATTAACTTGAACTAACAAGCGATGACTCCATATTATTGCTTAAGCGTACAATCATTGTCAGTGTGTATTAAGTCTAATAAAGAACAGTATTTTTACACATCTCGCCAGGCAACCTATGACCTTATAAATCCAGACTGCAGCATGTAGCCAAGTAAATTTGAGATAATATAGAGACAAAGTTAATCAGACAGCAACTAAAGTAAGACTGAGTTAAAAAAAAAAAAAACAACTAGATGACGTAATATAATTGGCTAAAATGTTACAACTTAGGTCAGGATAGCAACAGAGGTAATTACAGGTAGAGATTAAGTAGAAGTGAAATTGAGTGAATAAGTTGGATGACGTAACATGAATGACTAGAAACTGAGCGTTGTTCAGGTCAGTAACAGTGGTAGTGGGGTGTAGAGATTGAATCGGGTGGGGGTAGAGAACAAGAAAGTTGAAATTGTAAAATGTTACAATTGAGAAAGCAAAATAATACTAATGAAGAGACAGAAGAAAAGATTAGGTAGAATTTACATGTCGGCTAATAAGATAGATTACGTCCATTGCAAGTGTAGTGATTGAACGAACTTCTTCTGTATGCAGAGTTCAGGACTTAGCAAGTGGATCGCCATTGCTTCTGCAGTTTGAAGAAGTCTGATTCGTACACCTTTAGGGAGACTACTTCTTACTCTGTAGACGACTTTGAAGTTTGTTTGCGGTGTAGCTTGGTGTCCGGATTCGATCAGATGTTCTAAGATGGAACTGCGGGGGCATCGATTTTCTCCTTTATAAAACCATGCTGGTAAGTGCTCGGTGATACGTTTGGAAAGCGAGCGCTGGGTACGGCCAACATACCTGGCTCCACACGAGCAGGTGAATTGATAAATGCACATTGATGAGGCCAGCAGCGGTAGCTTATCCTTCACGTTCACATGAATCATAGGTTTTGTGGAGAAGGTTAGTCGTAGTTCAGCTGCGAAGAAAGTCTTCTTAAGTGAACGCGACAGTCGATTTTTCAGTGTTTCCGCAGATAGATCTCCATTGAATTGGAGGTTCATGTAGAGTAGTTTTTTCTTGACGCTAAGTATGGGCTGCTTTTCTGGTCTAGGATTCATAGATTTCACAATAAATCTTTCTGGATAGCAGTTCTCGACGAGGATTCTCTTGAGGTTGTCCAGTTCATCTTCTATGGTGTCCGGGGTGCAGATTCTGCGAACTCTGTAGCTGAGTGAACGGATCAGGTTTCGTTTGGTGTATAGTGGTACCCAACTGTGAAAGTTAGTAAGCTGTCCATTCCACGTCGATTTTCTGTGGATAGATCTTCTCAGTGTTCCATCCTGTTCTCTTCTGGTTAGTTGGACGTCAAGAAAAGATATTGTGGAGTTGGACTCTTTCTCCATCGTGAACTGAATTGCAGGGTGGCAGTTGTTAAACGACTTTAAGATGTCGTCTAGATTTTCTTCGTTGTTGACTATAATGAAGGTGTCGTCGACGTATCTTTTATAGATTTCGAAGGTGTTGATCATTTTCTTCAGGCATGTGTTTTCCAGTTTTGCCATGAAGAAATCTGCAAGCAAAGGGCCTAGTGGTGAGCCCATAGCTATACCATCCTTTTGGCGATATATTTCGTTGTTGAAAGAGAATTGAACATTCAGGGTACACCTCAGTAGGAGTTCTTTAAGATGCTCGGTGGGTATACCGATGTTTATTCCTTTGGAGTGAATAAGTTCGCATATATAGCATATTGTTTCAGTCAGTGGAACGTTTGTGAATAGTGATGTGACATCTAATGAAATCATTGTCTTGTTGGATACGTTAATGTTTTCGATTGAGTCAATAAAGTCGAATGAATCTCGAACTGTGTGGCAGGAAACTTGTTTTCTGATTGGTTCAAGTAGATCTGCTAACCATTGAGCTGTGCGGTGATAGGGTGAATTGGTCATGTCGAGGATCGGTCGAAGAGGGATATCCTTCTTGTGTACTTTCGGGAGTCCGTAAAGTCGTGGTATATTTGAGCCAGACGGTCTAAGGGATTCAAACATTTCGTTGCTGATGAAGGATTCAGTCTTCAACTTACGAAGGGTGTCCGTTAGCTTTTGTTCGGTTTGTTCAGTCATGTTTTTCTCATTGATCGGTTTTGTGAATTTGCATTCATCGGATAGTATAGTCAGCATTTTACTGATATAGTCCTTGCGATTCATGATTACGATTCCTCCGCCTTTATCAGGACGTAATATCATAATCTCTTCGTTTTTCATAAGTTCTTTCAGCTCCTTATGGTGCCTTTTCGTCAAGATGGACCTTCCGTTGTGTTTGGTATTTATAAACTTGTGACAACAGTCGAGGATTGATGCTTTGAATTGTTGTAGGTTTTCGTCTGATGTAGGTGTGAGATCGTAAGTTTGGTTTATTAGATTTTCGAACTGAACCTGGCATTGTAGCTTGTCAATACTTGGTGGTTTTACGCAGAATTTTGGACCTAGAGATAGTGCCTCTAGTTGAGTAGTAGACAGTGTGATGTCTGAAAGATTGAATACGTACTTTTCTGGATTGCTTGGGAACGGAGATTCGGTATTAATTGTAGGCTTTAGGCTTTTGAGAAGATCTGCTTTAGTCTTGTTACATTCTTTCTGAGTGACTTGTTGTACATATTCTTCGAAGGAATGGCGTAGTTCTTGATCTAAGTCTTCGACTGCATGAGCTCTTGAATAGACGTTTCGCTCTAGCTCAGGGACGCGTGATTGAATGGAGTCGATGTTGTTTCGTGTGTGTCGTCTGAGTGTTCTGGTATTCGGTTGGATGTGGTTGCGTCTCAGTGACTTCCAATACATCTTTGGATACTCATGTCGATCTATACAATCTCTTAAGAAATCAATCTTTGTCTTCGCTACCGCAAGCTTGACGGAGTAACGCAGGAAACCATCCAGCTCCTTCACCGTCACTGGGTCCTTGCAACGTTTGAGTAGATTGAAAATCCCCATTGAGTCATATGAAAAAGAGAAGACATTCAGCGAAGAGACTCTTTTCGGCGAATGTCTTCTCTTTTTCATATGACTCAATGGGGATTTTCAATCTACTCAAACGTTGCAAGGACCCAGTGACGGTGAAGGAGCTGGATGGTTTCCTGCGTTACTCCGTCAAGCTTGCGGTAGCGAAGACAAAGATTGATTTCTTAAGAGATTGTATAGATCGACATGAGTATCCAAAGATGTATTGGAAGTCACTGAGACGCAACCACATCCAACCGAATACCAGAACACTCAGACGACACACACGAAACAACATCGACTCCATTCAATCACGCGTCCCTGAGCTAGAGCGAAACGTCTATTCAAGAGCTCATGCAGTCGAAGACTTAGATCAAGAACTACGCCATTCCTTCGAAGAATATGTACAACAAGTCACTCAGAAAGAATGTAACAAGACTAAAGCAGATCTTCTCAAAAGCCTAAAGCCTACAATTAATACCGAATCTCCGTTCCCAAGCAATCCAGAAAAGTACGTATTCAATCTTTCAGACATCACACTGTCTACTACTCAACTAGAGGCACTATCTCTAGGTCCAAAATTCTGCGTAAAACCACCAAGTATTGACAAGCTACAATGCCAGGTTCAGTTCGAAAATCTAATAAACCAAACTTACGATCTCACACCTACATCAGACGAAAACCTACAACAATTCAAAGCATCAATCCTCGACTGTTGTCACAAGTTTATAAATACCAAACACAACGGAAGGTCCATCTTGACGAAAAGGCACCATAAGGAGCTGAAAGAACTTATGAAAAACGAAGAGATTATGATATTACGTCCTGATAAAGGCGGAGGAATCGTAATCATGAATCGCAAGGACTATATCAGTAAAATGCTGACTATACTATCCGATGAATGCAAATTCACAAAACCGATCAATGAGAAAAACATGACTGAACAAACCGAACAAAAGCTAACGGACACCCTTCGTAAGTTGAAGACTGAATCCTTCATCAGCAACGAAATGTTTGAATCCCTTAGACCGTCTGGCTCAAATATACCACGACTTTACGGACTCCCGAAAGTAAACAAGAAGGATATCCCTCTTCGACCGATCCTCGACATGACCAATTCACCCTATCACCGCACAGCTCAATGGTTAGCAGATCTACTTGAACCAATCAGAAAACAAGTTTCCTGCCACACAGTTCGAGATTCATTCGACTTTATTGACTCAATCGAAAACATTAACGTATCCAACAAGACAATGATTTCATTAGATGTCACATCACTATTCACAAACGTTCCACTGACTGAAACAATATGCTATATATGCGAACTTATTCACTCCAAAGGAATAAACATCGGTATACCCACCGAGCATCTTAAAGAACTCCTACTGAGGTGTACCCTGAATGTTCAATTCTCTTTCAACAACGAAATATATCGCCAAAAGGATGGTATAGCTATGGGCTCACCACTAGGCCCTTTGCTTGCAGATTTCTTCATGGCAAAACTGGAAAACACATGCCTGAAGAAAATGATCAACACCTTCGAAATCTATAAAAGATACGTCGACGACACCTTCATTATCGTCAACAACGAAGAAAATCTAGACGAAATCTTAAAGTCGTTTAACAACTGCCACCCTGCAATTCAGTTCACGATGGAGAAAGAGTCCAACTCCACAATATCTTTTCTTGACGTCCAACTAACCAGAAGAGAACAGGATGGAACACTGAGAAGATCTATCCACAGAAAATCGACGTGGAACGGACAGCTTACTAACTTTCACAGTTGGGTACCACTATACACCAAACGAAACCTGATCCGTTCACTCAGCTACAGAGTTCGCAGAATCTGCACCCCGGACACCATAGAAGATGAACTGGACAACCTCAAGAGAATCCTCGTCGAGAACTGCTATCCAGAAAGATTTATTGTGAAATCTATGAATCCTAGACCAGAAAAGCAGCCCATACTTAGCGTCAAGAAAAAACTACTCTACATGAACCTCCAATTCAATGGAGATCTATCTGCGGAAACACTGAAAAATCGACTGTCGCGTTCACTTAAGAAGACTTTCTTCGCAGCTGAACTACGACTAACCTTCTCCACAAAACCTATGATTCATGTGAACGTGAAGGATAAGCTACCGCTGCTGGCCTCATCAATGTGCATTTATCAATTCACCTGCTCGTGTGGAGCCAGGTATGTTGGCCGTACCCAGCGCTCGCTTTCCAAACGTATCACCGAGCACTTACCAGCATGGTTTTATAAAGGAGAAAATCGATGCCCCCGCAGTTCCATCTTAGAACATCTGATCGAATCCGGACACCAAGCTACACCGCAAACAAACTTCAAAGTCGTCTACAGAGTAAGAAGTAGTCTCCCTAAAGGTGTACGAATCAGACTTCTTCAAACTGCAGAAGCAATGGCGATTCACTTGCTAAGTCCTGAACTCTGCATACAGAAGAAGTTCGTTCAATCACTACACTTGCAATGGACGTAATCTATCTTATTAGCCGACATGTAAATTCTACCTAATCTTTTCTTCTGTCTCTTCATTAGTATTATTTTGCTTTCTCAATTGTAACATTTTACAATTTCAACTTTCTTGTTCTCTACCCCCACCCGATTCAATCTCTACACCCCACTACCACTGTTACTGACCTGAACAACGCTCAGTTTCTAGTCATTCATGTTACGTCATCCAACTTATTCACTCAATTTCACTTCTACTTAATCTCTACCTGTAATTACCTCTGTTGCTATCCTGACCTAAGTTGTAACATTTTAGCCAATTATATTACGTCATCTAGTTGTTTTTTTTTTTTTAACTCAAATTTGAGATAACATGCATCATTCAGTAAAACTAAATATTCACTTAAGTTATGAAATATGCGCAGACTTACCTAACAACCTTACCATATGGTTGTAGTATTTGATGGATATCATTATTGGTTAAACTGAATGGTAGATTGCTTATGTACACTGTACTTTTACTCGGTGCTAGTCCTTTACTCATAACTTGTCAATCATTATTACATAGATATGGATAACTGTTAAAATAGAGTAAAACGTTAGAAAAACGGCATATGATTGAATTAAATGCCAAAGGGAAGACAGACTACAACGAAATATACTACAATATTTAAAAAACTAAAATGACAATCGTATCATAGGATGACTTTTAATATTCAACAGACAGCATTTCTTTTCTTCTTGATACCTTGATTCAAGTTTCATCATGAATTGACATCAATTAAAGGAATGTTAGGAAACCAGCCATGGAGTGCTGGACAGCCGTTTCATCCTAGTTTGAGGCTCTTCGGCTGCACGCTCCCGCCAGGGTTCGAACCCTGGACCTAACGATTACAAGGCAAGCTCGTAGACCAATCAGCCATTGAGAGCCGGTTCAGTGGCCCATGAATTCCAGCTTCTACGAATTCATGATTTTAGCGCGATCAGCGTCGTCGGCAATTATTTCTCCTTACACCCGACCAGATAGACCCCGCTGGTTGCGATTTTTCGCCAGAATTCCGGGCAACTACGTCCTACAACCAGTCAGTGGCAAGCATCAGATCAATTTTCAAGAGTGGCGGCAGAGCTAAAATCACGAATCGCTAGGAGTTGAAATTCATATGCCACTGAATCGGGTCCCAAATGCTGCATGGTCTATCGGCTTGCTCTGTAACCGAAAGATGCTGCGTTCCAACCCCGTGAGTGCGTGCTGCCAAAGAATCCAAAACTAGGAAGAGACAACTGTCTAGTACTCCCTGGCTTTCAGTGATTCTATAACTGATTTCAATCCGTGATCGAACCTGAAAGAGATCAAATCCTTACAAACTAACTCTTGAAAATTAATACCTTGATATTCAAAATATAGATAACCTGTACGGTATCAAGTATTATTGCAATTTTGATGTGAATATTCTCAACAAATAAAGTATTGATAAAATTACACATCAAACACCTGGTCAATTTGAAGCTGGTTTTCATTACAAGTTCACACGAGATGGGACTAGTGAAATAATCCACACAGTTATGAGCGATATTTTATTATGAAGTAAACAGCAAGCATACAAGTATTCTTATATTAGAGTCAAATAAAGAAACCATCAGTATAATTGAGTACCACATGTGAGTAGTTCATTAATGAGTTAAATGCATTAGGCTTAATTCAACCCAAACACACAGATTCATACGATAGGTTCACAATAACAAACACATACTCAATATTAGATGGCTGGAGACAATCGGTAAGAAGCCAACCATCCAATAACAACAATTCAGAGCGTACTGTGATGTCCAGCCATTTAAGCATGGTGGCTACATTGCAAACTCAACTGATAGAATTCACTCTGCACCAAACAAAGGACTAGATGTATGATACTGATTACTAACTAGTGTCCAATGAAAGTATATACTCAATAAAACGATGAAGGCAGCATAACTTCGAAAATAATTGCTGAGTCATAAATCTGTCGCTTTGCACTAATCTTGCAATGCAGCGCATCTAGCTTTTATACCCATTTATAATAAACAAATCAGAGTAAGCTGCAGTATACGTTGCATTGCCAAGGCGTTAGAGATTAAGATGAAAAACACTGATTTGTGTACACAGAAGAAAATTCTCCTACCTTGCGTATACAATCAGGGCAAGTCACCATTTTATGCGCAACTTGTTGAATCGGAGCCGAAATATATAACGGAGTTAAATGTTAGAACCCAGTACATTCAAAGATTTCACTCCACACTATTTATCTGAAGTGAAAATAGTATAACGCAGGAGGTAGATGAAAACTGTTTTCGATACTAACAACTTTTCACTTAATCTATTCGCTTATTTATAGGAAATCCCCATTTCATTTTACACTGTCAATTTATGTTAATAGTACAACAGTTCAGCACTGTTAATAAACACATTATTTTCAACAAACGTTCGTACTAAGAATAGAATAGTTAAAAGATTCACTACTGCATGAAAGTATTCATTGAATTGTTTAATATACAAGAATGTACATATAAAGGGAATATTTTTGAAAATATCTAGCGTCGACGTTTATTTTTAGCACAAGGCTTTTTCTTTGCACGACGAAATCGCTTTTTACTTCTCATTGGATTCATTTTGAGTGCTTTCTTAAGCGACATTTTTGGTCTGGAAGTAATAGTAAATTATCGACAGAAGGAATAACTTACTCTGCAACACAATCGATTGGTTCAGATTTCTGTTCCTAAATAGCTTATAAATGGAACTTATTATGATTATACCTCGCAAGCAGCTCCCATAAAGTAATGACAATTAGAAATATCAAGTTCCTGAATAACAACGTTGTGATCGCCGATAATTTCACTTTGACAAGAACGCACACTTTCAGTACAATCTAGCATTCCGGGCAAATGGATACCTTCCATTTTTTGGCGAGCAGCTTCTCTGTACTAGCAAGATTTAAAAAAAACTTGAGTCGCCATTTACTTTTGCTTTGACTGCCTTGATTTCTTCCTTTAACTGCTTTTCTGCTGCTAAACGTCCTTTTTCCTTACGTTCTAGCTTTCTTTTTCGAAATCCAGTGAGATATTCCCTAGCAAATTGAAACTTGGTAAGTATACGTCATACTTTCTTTTCTCCTCATCGAAAATCAGAGTAAGCTTTGGTCTTTTCTTCATGACTGAATAAAATGGCGCTAACAGGTTACAACCACCTATCAGTTAATAAGGAAAAGATGATTTTAAATCTCGAGGAAATTATAACGCTAATATTTACATTCTTTTAAACTAGGAGCACAGCCTTGCACAATAAACGATAAAACAATCAAGCAAAACAACTCCGTACTATCAGGAACTACAAATACTTGTGAATAAATGCATATTGTTACGATAGACTAATTAACTTTGCAAAGGAGTGTATCAGTTCGAGACACGAAGTTCCACGAAAGTGTAATTACAATCACATAAATTCACTTACATAACGAGACACTTAAACACTCTTTGAGCCAAACTACCAAGTATCACTACTTGTTTTCAGTTGAAGACAGTCATCCTAACCTTCAACAATGTCCAGAGAAGTTAATGAAGTTCCACCTTTCTCAAACATCATTACATTTACCAGTTTTACTCCGAAATAAGTCCAATTAGTTAAGGGGTTTGATCTAGTGCTGATACTTTTTTTCATTCTTTTAGATTTTATCACTCACCACTGATGGTGACCTCTACGAATGTCTTCAGTCAACTTACGCTTTAAAAACATTCGATTTCTCGTTATGTTTAGATCTCATCAGTTCGTATGAAACTACGGAGACGCACTGGCGTTTGCCAACCGCTGATTGACAGTTATCACCTCTTCTACTCTATATTTGATTTCGCATATTGTTTCAGACTGCTTCATGATTTAATGCTAGAATCCAGTTGAGCAGCGAGTTTCGTACTGTAAAACCTATTACTATCCCTGCACGAGGAAGTCCACGATGACCAGGGTATCTACTAAAACTTCTAGAACAAAGTTTTACAGACACTACATATACCAAGTGATGTTAGTTAAGTAATTTAACTTGGGTCTCGTATACGTGATAAAACGAAAACTTATAGTTGCAGATTTCAGTCTTGTCTACAAAGCTTTACCATCAGATTTGGAATATAGTCCACTGAAAGTTTCAGTTCGGGATCATTACTGTAGCCCATCTTTAGGTGGTAGGAAGGTAATTGGCAAACTTACGTTGTTATTATTGATCACAGTAAAGGTAATGTATCCTAAATAATGTTAGTATTAGCAATGAGAAGAAGCAGTAGACTTTTGAAGACAATAATGGAAAGGGTGATTGAAGAACAGATGGGTCCTATGTTTTATGCAAATATTTCATTAGCTCGTTCTTATCAACTGTTCATATTGAAGGAGCTTTCTTCTTCAAGTATCTGGTAGATGACTGATTTTGTGTAAATGCAGGGTTTCCAATAATTGTTTCAGATAGTATAGCTTGTTCAGCGACTACGATGAGAGAGCTCGACCACTACACTAAGGTAGCAGGTATCGACAGAGCTGCTGCAAAAATGGTAGTGTAGCTTTAAACCTGTTAAGAATATTAAGCTGCCATATACTAAATATTTTCGAGGAGAGGGGGTTACGTTATTGTTTCATCAGAGAATTTTATTTAATAAGAAGTGCTGTTATTTATAGATGACGTTCAGAGCACAACCTGTTGATTATAATCATATCAAGGTACACACGTCACTTTTAAGCTCTGATTATATAATCCCACTATTTTCTACCCTTTGATTTTATTGGTAATATTTTCCATATCTCCGGTACCGGCACTGAGTCATTCCTATTGCAGGTGTCACTGCTATTTTTTATTGTGAGCGTTTTTGGAATTCCTGACGAAATTCGTGGGGTAGTTATTCAGCACAAATTCTACTGTCTCATTTTATTAATTGGGCTTTATTTGTCAGACACTTAACCAGGAATATCTTCACAGATAACAGATGGGATAGGCTTAAGGCTAAATGTATCAACACTGACACATATTTTAACCCCTCCTGTTCATTTTACTTGACAGTATAATATACCGAATTTCTCATGTTCGTTTCTAGATTCAAATGTAAATTTAATAACCTCTAAAATCGAGTTTATGTATGAAGAGTAGTCGCGAACATGGGAAAAGATTTTGTGTAGAACGAATAACCACCGTGTTGAGAGCACACAGTTTTTGTCCATTAGACATCACAACACTTGAGTAAGAATGCATCGGCGAAGTCAAACTATAACAGCCATCCAGAGAGTTTAACTTCGCCAATGTCTCCCAACTAGCATTGACTATGGGTGCAGGAGCACTGCAAACAGTTTCGAAGCTATCTCACATTTCAGTAACTTATGCATACAGTGAAAGATTTAGAACCGAAATTTAACTTTAATACTGTCGGTAGCATTGTTGTATGGTATATGCTGTTTTCTCACAACAGACAGTTAAATATTTCCGGTTTATGTAAATCTTGAGAAACTTATGGTACAGTGCAAACACTTTGGGAAAGACT